CATGTAAATGTCCAGCTCATAGTTTAGAGATGTATCGTTGGTAATTGCACAAAGATCCCCACTATCAATTTCTCTTAGACAACTTAGATGGTGTGGACCTTGAATAGTCCTTATCTAAATGTAATCAACCAATCTTTGACACATTCCTTCTCCAAAAACTCTAGCTCAAAATACTAGAGCCTGATACGTATTATTCTGTGGTGGGGGAAACTTAATTTGAGAGAAAAACGAAACAGCAAATAGACATGAAATGTCTTTTGGACCTAACGGATGGTAAAATTAAAAAAAAAAAAAATCAAAGTGACTTGCTCCTACCCTTCCTTCAGAGTCAATATGGCTGTGTGGACAGCATCATCAAGCTCCATATCCTCAGTGTATCTGCAAAATGAGCAATCAACTCTTGAAACAAGGGAAAAGATCTTAATGTGCGGTAAAACAATAATGTCATCTTCAATTGAAAATGTTATTAGAAGTGTTCACAGTTATGTTATAGAATTCTTTGCACATTTATATGACAAATCATGAGAAAGATCAGTTATGCCCAGTATCTACAGAAGTAAAAAACTACAGAACTAAATGGACAACACTGAACTCCGTATGCAGAATTGTCATCAACGATCAAAGCTTACCTCTTCTCAAGAAAAGTCTTTGCATTAGAAACATTCTTCCCCATAGCAGACGCTTTCCAGGAAAAATATGAACCCGATGGATCCACCTATTTTAATTGAATCAAACAACAATTTTAATTTCTTCCTTTATTTTCTCTTATGTATGGTAAACCAAAGTAATTCATTTAAATAATTTCAAGCGCATGAAAAAGAGACTCAAGTGCAAGCTTATCATGGACACCAATTGCAGGACAGATAGAAAAAAGCACAACTAGTTTTCTGGGGAAATCCATTTAAATTTAGACAGAATAAATTATCAAAGAATAGTTTTCAGTTTTCATTCTGAAGTGAAAAAATCATTAACTTGGGTAACGAAATTATGAACTTCCAACAGGTTACATTGGTATCTTCAAGAACCGAGGAAGTATCAATTCATGTTACCAGTAACCGAATATTTGTTCTTAGCTTATTTCATGCACAACACACACGCACATGTATGTATATTGCAGTACACAATCTTGTTGAGTTCAGTCCCTAATGCAGAAGCAAGACAAAGCAATACAACCTAAATTGCAGTTAATAACAGGGATTGAAAAGCATCAGCAAAAAAAGTTCCATTCACATAAAGCATATCAATATACCTGGAATAATTGTGGACCTTTATCGTCAAATCCAGCAACTAGAAGGGACACTCCAAATGGCCTGACACCACTATAAGGACAAAACAAAAATATCAAAATTCAAAAGACAATAAAGGGGAAAAGGAAAAACCATAAAGCAATGAGTGGTCCTGTGCGTAAACTCTAAACCCATCCAGATTCAACACATTTTAGGTTCACTTGATTATTAAAGGTTTTGTTTTTGTTTTTGTTTTTCTGTGAGGGATTATTACAGGTTTATTTACTATGAAGATCCACCCAGTTGTCGCCAATGTAATTTCTGTAGAGCTGTAAGTTGTGAACATATGCCTTCAGGAGCAGTTTTCTTCCAAATCAAACTCAGGCTCAGATTAGATACACATGGATTTTTCACTTAGAAATATACCCCAAATCGTAGGGTTATTTTGAAAATAGTAACACCCTCAAAATTCATAATTAAATTTCAGCACTTGGTAATATTTGATGCTTTAAAAGATAGACTCCTAAAATAAAGGAGAAGCTACTGTTCTAGCAAATAACTGACTTGGATATTTTATTTTTACTATATCACCTTAAGTTACATAGATTAATGGTTAGAAAATTCAAGTGGTAAGGAAGACAAATTGCCGAACAGAAAGATTAGATGTAGCTATTGGGACTTCTCAAAGTAGAGGAGTCTGCTTGCCGAGAACTCAAAGCAGGCACTGTAAACTTTTCCTTTAATCATCCACTATATATCCCCACATCTGCAGTCCCCATTTTTCAAGGATCAGAAGGAAGGGAGAAGATGTGTCATGCAACATATTTCTAATACTACGAGTATCCTAGGTACAATGCAAGAGTAAATAAAAACAACCCACCCTTATTGTAAAAGTTTATTGAAAAATATATCTTAAAAAGAAATCCATAATTACCCAGATTGAGTGAACTCCTGCATAACAGCAGCAATTTCCCTTACAAGCTGAGTGACAGGGATTGGTTCCTGCAATGTTCCAGTACCATATAAGATCAAAGCCATACTTTCCCAAAACATCCATAACAGAATGTGAAAAAAGTGAATAGAAAGAAAAAAAAAACATGAGATTTTTAGTAATGAACGAAAAATATCTTAAAAGGAACATCTAATCAGATTATAAAAACCAACCATACTAAGCAAATCCTGCTTAACAAGATGAACGCAAGCAATCATTTATCATTTTCATTTTATTTCAACAAAGCCTTTCATCAAAATGCACTTTCTATATCCTTTTTTCTAGTCTACATCATGCAAATAAAGATACTATATATTTCTGCTTACTTTTTACTTGACAAAGAGTTATGCATAAGAAGCGATAAAAACATTTTTTGTGCTAAATGATGGAACAAGGATTTAAACCAAAGACCAATTGCTAACTATTGCAAATGCGCCACAAATAAGATTGAAACAATGGAATTCCTTACAATCCTAATTCCTAAGTTCCAATGCAAGATATCATTAATGCCATTACTAATCCATCTGGTCAGGTCAAATATTATAATTATAAATGGAAAACAGGCGTGGAGTATTGATCAGTTGACTTAGAGATTGAATTAACATATATTGAGCTAAAAGAAAAACCTTACTTTATATAGCCGGTGATACTGCTCAGCCTGCTTCCTACTTTTTCGAACCAAAACCCGAAAGTCAGGACCCATGCCACTGAACAACAAAGCAAATTTTCCACAAAGCTCAATTGCAATGAAGAAGGATTATGGAGACTAATAAAGAAAGCTACTTCCAATAATGGAGCCCTCTTCTCTGTATAATTTCTCTCAAAGTAGCCTTCAACAATTATTCGGTTTCAGTGTACCCAGTAGAGAAGTGATTTTGGACAAGCTGTCATTAGCCTTCAGGATTGAAAATTATAAAAAACCTGATGTACTTAACGAATCTCAAATTTATGGGTTGAAGCACATAAGTTCCTCTCACACGAGAATACATTAAAATCACATAGCAGCCAGCAATGAAAATATTTTCCTGAAAACTATATATTTTATCAGTCTGCCAAATTGAATGTATGCTTTTGGTAGAAAACTGACTAATGTCAGCATAACTCAACAATCCCTCATTGCGCCACTTACAATCCTTGATGACAGTTGCACTCTATAACCTAAAAAATCTTAGAATCAAAGGATGCATAACTCACCAATGGAAACGCTTCATTTCTTTATTGAAATATATCTCATCCCATTCTCCTATCAAGTCTTTAATACACCAAGTATTGTTTTCCTATATATGCACAAAAGATTATTGTTTCCCTTAAAACATCATCCTCACTTCTCTCAAGAAGCTGGTTTGTCTAAAAACTCACTAGTTCACTTTGTGTGTGGTTCCTGACAACTCATGATGTCTTTCACCTTCTAAAATACATTTGAAACTAATAGCCATACAATTCCATAATCTGAGGCATTTAATAAAGCACATAGATTCACACATGACTATATTGAAGTCAAAATGATTCAAGCATGTAGTGTGAAACACACCTATAAACAACACCGATATTTGGTGTTAATATCTGAATTTTCTGTACCTGCAACCAAGTAAAACAAAGATCCGAAATGCATCAAATTTTCAATAATTTAAGTAACAGTAACCAGCTAGCTTGAGATTAAATAATTCAATGAGAATGGATTACAATAAAAGCACCAACACAAGCAATAGCATGAAAGCTGAGAAAATAGGCAGCAAAGACACACGGCATATGGCCAGGGATAGAATAGGGAAACTTATATAATTAAGGCACGATCACCAACAAAATGGGAGGCAAAGTAAGAGCAAATAAAAACTCACCGATGCTTCATCAACAAGTATAGATGGCAATTTCTTCTCTGTTGCAATGACAACACCATTTGCAGCTGCAAGAATCAAATAAATGGACTTAAAAACTACAAAAGCTACAGAAATTACATAAAAAAACTAATGATCTGCATGACACCATAACATACTGAATATAATATTTCAAAATATATTATAATATCTTTGTTTAAATACTAATTTAAAATGTTCCCATATCGAAATAATTTTCAATATATATATAAAAAAAACATCACATTTGAATTTCTTTTTCTAGTACTACACATTCTCGCCCGTTGGCGATGAGTGTTTCCTGGTTTTAACAAGAATATTATCACTAATCAAATGGATTCAGCACATAACAACACAAATGCTTGAGGCAGCAGGATAAGAATTATTAACAGATCCAGAGATAGCAATCAACACCTTTAATTCCGAGAGATGTTTGTCCAGAGCCAACAGCTGTCAGAGCATGTTCTATCTGAACAAGTTTTCCAGAAGGACTGTCGAACATAGAAACAGAATAATAAGACATGTGTCTGTGTGTTATTGCATCGTCATGTAAGCAAAATTCCATCAACCATACCTAAAAGTGGTCAAAGAGAATGAGTATTGACTATCGCCCATGATTTTGTAGAAGAAGCTGGCCCAAAACCAAAAAAAAAAAAAAAGAATTTGACAATTTATGAATTTTAACCGTGCACGATGGCCTATGAATACACCTAGCAATTAGCAAAATATCAGAAATCCTACACAGTGCAAAGAAAAGCAAAACCGTTGAATCAATTCATGATTACAGCAATGCCCAGAACACAAAAATCGCAGACAATAGACCAAAGCTGAAGAACATTTTCAGCTTAGCCCTTCATAATTGATATAGAGGAATGAAACTAATTAATAGTCGACGGATCAAAGCTTGGCTCCGGAATCGACACTTTTTTCGAACACTATGAGCACCGACCAGAATGTACCTTAATTAACCAGAGTGAGAGCAAGCTCGAACCTCAGATGTATGTCCGGCAAAATTGATCTTTGCTTTTTCTTCAGGGGTATTCGTCGGGGACAAGAAAGCGTAATTGCAATTGGGTTGGGCCTTTTAGGTTTAATGCTTTTGTACAAAAGTTTCACGTTTTTGGTAGGAAAGAGGGCTAAGCCCAGTAGTTAAAACAAATTACTCAAAAAGGGGATTGAGGTCCAAGTACATCAGAAGCAACTAAACTCCTAACAAAGCCAGGAGCAACAGCAAATAAGGAAGAGTGGGCCATGTACAAAAGTTAAATTGAACTGTAGCCTATATAAGCTTTTGCAGTAATTAAATAAGCCCAATTATTCTCACTCAGGCCTCGGTTGGCCCACTCCATATGATTTTAGCCAAATTTTCATTTCCTTCAAATATTAAAAGAGTTTGGGAAATTTAATTATTACCCCTAATTAATTCGAATGCCAAGATTCATCAATAACTCAACATCTAGGGTGTTTATATCTATTTTCACAAATTACGATTTTATCTGTTCTTATATTCTGCTTAAAATAAATATTATTAATCAATTTTATAAACCAATGATTACCACATAATATAATCAATTATATCAATCATTTTTTCATAATGAATTTTTTTTCACAAATATCTAAAGTCAGAAATAAAGGTTAGGCTTGAAAGCCCTATTTAAATAAAGATTGGGTTTTAAAAATAATTTTTTTTAAAATAACCAGACTTGAAGGTTTGACCCTAATAAACCCTGTAAAAAAAGATTCTACACGCATTTGAAACCAAGGACCTGCTCTATTAGGTTTGACCCTAATAAGCCCTATTATATTATTATTAATTTTTTTTGTGGAATATACATTTGAAACTAAGGACCTGCTCGTTTAAAGCCTTGATCCTACACACATTATATTATTATTAATTTTAATTTATTTTAAAATTAATTTAATATAATTTAATAAATATCATTGTATAGTATAAAATTTTTAATATTTTTTATTTTTCTATGATAATTATGTTTGTGTATTTATAAAAAATAAACTATTTTTTAATTAAGATTTAAATTTTATTACTAGATTTTTAAATGTGTGTTGTTTAATTTCTAAAAGATTATGAAGATTTCAAATTTTTTAATTTTAAAATATTTTAATTAATTTATAGTGCTTAATTTTACTTTAATTTTTTAAAAAATTTCAGAACAAGGCTTGTGGCCTTGGCCTTGAGTCCTTCAAATAAGGACCGAGTCTACCTGTTTTTCAATTCTATAAATATCCAAACAAATTCAAAGTTTAAGGTAATTTATAGTGAAGTATTAAATTCTTAGAACATTGATGTTTTTCAACTCGTCCAAAGTGCCTGCACAATTGACATTCTAGAATAAACTGCCCCCCCCAACAAAAAAAACATAGTGATAACAAAAATCAAGACACCAATAAATTTATGCACAAATTATGGGAACATTTTAGCACTGCATAGTATTGATTGTAATGAAAAGGAATACTGCAAAAAAGGTTATGCATTTCCATGGTTTGAAAATACTCATTGCCACAACACAATTTGCTAAAATATCTCGCAGTTTTGACAGAAAATGCGGGAACTTCTCACCGGGTTTGTTGATCCCCTGTGGAATTTTGAAAATGTTGCCACAGTTTTTCAACTAATCATGGCTAATCCAGTTTTTTTTTTTTTTTGGTGTAGTGAAAATATCATCATGAGAAAATTTTAAAACTTTTATTTCAATCAACATCTATATTTTCAGTAGAAGTAACCTAAAGAATATTGATTTGAAAGAGACTTCATACTTCTTAAATAAGTTAGAGCGTTCAAACTTTGTGGATAAGAACCATACTAATAAAGATATTTAGGTTACACAATGTTTAAATCTGGATAAGTTGGTAATACCAAATACTAGATAGCTTGTTATCAAATTGGAAGTAACTAGGAAAACAATTATGGTAGAGAAGGAATATCAATTTTCATTTACTTTCGCGTGCTTTATTGAGACGTTAATTTCATGAAGTCATCACTCTTTGCCTTTGGAGGACATTTCTTTGCGATGTTACTGGAGAAACAAGGAAGATACATGAAAGCAAAGCATTTCTCAAATGAAAATATGGAGAACATAAATGAACACTTTTGCTAGTAAGATATAAGCATCGAAGATACATGTCAATCTCATAAATTAACCGTTGGAATTTCGTACTAAAGCATAAGCACCTCTAATGGTTTCATCTTGCTCTTACGTTTGAAATAGACAAACCATTCACTGAATGAGTTTCACAATCATTAGGATTTTGATGTTTCTTGTTGATCTTCATTCCACAGTAAAATGCTGGTCTTTTTGGGAAAGGAAGTGAAACAGCTTCATTTGTCAACAAGGCTATAACATCAGACATGGATGGACGATCTTCTGCACTTTGTTCTCCACATAGAAGTCCAACGTGGATACATCTTAATACTTGATTTGGATTGCGTGAATCTCTTAAAGTGGGATCAACCAAGTCTAGACCCTGACCTTCTTTCCATAGTTCCCAAGCCTGAGAGATGCAGAAAGATATGAAAAGTTATATTTGTCTAAAAATTTATGGTATGGGTAAAACTAGATTGATAAATTACTGAAAAATTTCTGCAGATGCTCTCCAACACCAAATCATGTTTGTAGAAGAAAGGGTAGGTGGGACCTAGTGGAACCCATCCAAGTGGGTCCCCCCCCCTCTCTATTTGCCTCTCTCACTAGAGACTCTTCGAAAAGGCAGAAAATCACAACTCTCCTGGAACATACCTTTCCTATTAGATTTAGTGGATGTTGGGCATTGTAGAAGCTGTTGTTTCTTCTACCACTAACTATTTCAAGTAGCAAGACTCCAAAACTATAGACATCTGATTTAGTAGAGAAAACACCTTCCATGGCATACTCAGGTGACATATAACCACTGCATAACATTATGATAAATAAAATGTGTTTCAAGGCAGAAATATTATAAAAATGCAGCTACAAGAAGATATGAATTTGCTGCATAAATGTACTCACTATGTCCCAACAATCCGATCTGTATGTACATTTGATTCTTGTGTAAAAATTTTGGCCATACCAAAATCTGAAATTTTAGGATTCATATTGCCATCAAGAAGAATGTTACTAGCTTTCAAGTCTCTATGAACTACTTTTAGTCTTGAATATTTATGAAGATAGAGTAATCCTTGAGCGATTCCCTCAATTATGTTGAAACGCCTTTCCCAATATAGTGAATTGCTCTGAGCAGAATCTTCTCAAGAAAAACATGAATGTGAGCAGTGCTCAAGAAGTTTAAAAATAATGAAAACCAAATTTTCCTTGGAAGAAAAGTACTTGTTTTCTCACCAAATGTAAAGAAGTCTAAGCTTTTATTAGGCATGAACTCAGATTAACATCCTCTCTTCTCCATGAATGCAGCAACCTAACAACTGAACAAGATTCATATGTTGGAGTTCAGATATTAGAATTAGTTCATTTTTAAACTCAATTACTCCTTGCGCTGAACCCCTTGAAAGTCTTTTTATGGCTATTTCTTCTCCCATTGGCAATAATCCCTAAAATGATTTTCAGCAAGTTATCAGTCTCATCAGGTACTAATCACCAGAAAAAGTTCAAGAACATTTTTGGGAACCACCTTATATACAGGTCCAAAGCCTCCTTTTCCTAGCATGTTTTCTGGTGAGAACCTGTTTGTTACTTCCATAATTGATTCATAGCTGAAAATTCTTAAGTTTGCCTTCTTTACGTCACTCTGAATATCTCTATCAGAAGATAATAAGTTACGAAGTTCTTTCTCCTCTCTGCTTCTTCCATTATCTGTTAGATATGATTCAATGTCATTGCTTTAAAGAAGAATGATGTTCATATAACATTACACTCAATTTCAAAAATTTTCTTTGTAAGTTTATGGATACATATACCTTGAACTTCATCTGTTTTTATCCCCCTTCTTAGGTAGCAAATTCCAAGGAAGACTATGATCAGAGCTGCTGCCAAGGCAGGACCAACTATTTTCCACTTCTTCATAACTGCATTACATAAGCAATCATCAAGTGTTGGCTGGAATGTTTCATGAGTAGCTTTACCTTATCTAAGCTATACTTTTTTAAAGATTTCTTCAGTGTCTTTTCATAAGTAGTTCTACTTTTCCCACTCCGCATGGTCAAGCATAGCTTGTTTTATATCAAAATGATATGAAAAGTTGCATGGAAGATGTTTTTAAGAACTTAGGCATCAAAGTACTTAAGACAAAATTTATAGATTGAAACACTGGAGGCTTCAACCAAAGCTTTCCTCAACTCTGGAATCTTGTTCTGTTCTAACATGGATTGCTTAGGTAGAAGTTTAGTTTCAAAAGTGAGAGTGAGATTAAGACAACAAGAACAGCCTTTTTTTTCAATAAAAAAGTTAGGAGATTCTAAACTATCTTGAGTTGTTTCCATACCTTCATGATCTAATTCATGTCGTTCTAAGATGTTAATTCTATAGTCCCTAGAGAAAACACTTGCTATCTCCAAAGGCCCATTGTAATGTATGCATCCAGTTCCATTTCTGAACAAAGTTTTGAACCCAGTGCAAGTACAGTTGGTCCAGCAAGCAGCCTTGCAATCACTTTCACCAATACTAACGTTTGTGTCTGTCTTAAATGATCTAGTATTCTTAGATAGATAATCAATATATCCAATCTTGATTTGGAATGTATCACCAGGTTTCCTACAGGTTGGTAGCTCCCATTTTTGACAACCACCAACATTGTTGTAACCATAGCAGGTATCAGCCCTAGCAATGGAATAATCACTTCCTCTTGTGTCCAATAACTGACCATTATGAAACAGCACCCACTGTGATTCTTCATATATACTTCTGTAACTAAAGGACTCTTCCTCCTCATTCGAGACAATGATGTATTCATAAAACTGCTGAACTTCTTCAGGTATGTTCACAAATCTCTTGTTTTTC